TTGTTATCAAAACAGGCTAGTTGTCAAATTATTAAATAATATACTTTTTAAAAAAAATTTTCCTTTTTAAACAATTTTTTGTTTACACCAAAATTTCGACAATATTTTATAGTCATCCTCAGAGTACTACAATGTCCCTATAATATTTAAATAAATAATTAATAGAAAATTTCGCATATCGATGAGATCATTTAATAAATATGTAAATATTGAATGTTTGAAATGCTGAAATTTTTTCATTGCTTAAGTGAAAAATCTAAAATTTTTTACATTGTTATTTAAAAGGACTTTTCTTCCATTTACCCGGTTACAAATTGCACTTGAATAGACCTTGTCAACTTTAGAATTTCAATTTTTCTTTGTAGTTGTGATAATTTTGTTGAGATTAGGAATAAAGCTGAGAAGTAAAGTAAGTACAGATATAGCTTAGTTCATGTGCTGCCAAAATTAGAACTTTGTATGACGGAATCAAATAGGTCTTGAATAATATCAAAAACGTTAAATGCATTCAATTGATTAATATTGATTTACAAATTCTATATTAAGTCCTATGTAATATATAAGAGATGACATAACTTTATATAACAAAGTATCACTGTTTGTTTATATGTATACATATATACACATATTTATATTAAAACGTTGATAATGATTTTTCTAGTGATTAAATCAATATATAAAACTTCAGCTGAAATAAAATATATGTATTTTATACAGATTTTATTAGTAATATATATCTATGAGTTAATCAGGAGTTTCAGTGTTTATTTGCGAAAATATTGTTTAATCAAACAAAAACTTTTTCTTTGTTTTCACTTTTTCATATAAATTTGTGTATTTTCTTATAAATTTCTTTTGTGTGTTTTTGTATATTTAAATTTTAAACAATAAAACACTGTAAACAATTTCACAAAAGTCAATAACCCGCATTATAACATGTTAAAAAATTATTTTTTGATGAATGTTTATACGATAAGTGGTACCAGTAATCCATATAGTTCTTCGCATTCCAACTAAGAATGAGTTTCATATCTGTAGTTGCTCTTTTCAAGAATATTTTATAGATAGTTTTATTATTTCAGCATTTTAACAATAATAATATAATATGTATATATACAGTAGACTCTCGCTCTAACACATATCCATTACAAGAAACCCTCTAAATAATGAAGGACCAAAAATATTTAATTATAAAATTCAGATAATATATGTTCTCAATAATGAATACTGTTTTTATAATCCATTTAAAATAATGAAAGGCTTGACATTTGATCTTTTTTAATACCGAGAAAACATGGTATGTGGGTTCATAATAGTAATATAAAATCCATTGACAATAATTATGTATAAAACATACATAACAGTCTTACGTAGGTTTTTTATAAATAAATTTTGTTAATTTATCTCTTAATTTACCCCGATTAAACGGTTCAGTAAAGCTACAAATAATGTGTTATTTTAATACATGAAGTATTATTTAACGATTTGAGAATATAATTAATTGGATTTATATATACAATATTATAGATTATTTCATAAATCATGTTAGGCCATAAACACACAATTAAGTCTTTTATACGCGCATACGAACTTTATTTTGTGCAAATTTATTAATGTTTTTTATTTTTTATATGGCAGTTTTAGTGTAATAAAATTTTTTATCTGAACATCTCACAGATAAATAATTCAAAGCCAAACAACTAGGAAATAAATAATGTAGAAGACATTAGAAGCTTTAATTTATTTTTAGTTTTATTTTTTCGTAATTGGTGCGATTTTAATTAAGAAGGATAATTTATGAGAGTCATTTGAAATAATTCTTTAAGCAAATATAACAATTTTTCATATCACTATATATAAATTATTTTATAAATAAAATAATTATAAAAGTATTTTTTAAAATTATATCAGATTACATATCTTTATATATTATACATTTTAACTATAATTAAGTACTAAGGAAAAGATGCTATAAGATGGAATTATGAGGAAACATAAAAGATTGGGTTGAAGCTACTATATCGTAAATATTATATTTGTTTACAGCAAATGATTAAAAATATAAATATAAAATATATTATAATTATTAATAATTAGTTATATAAAATAGTATATAAATATTTTATTTCTTTTCGAAGAATTATTATGCAATGAAAAAAATTTTCAAGAAACCAAAGCCTATTTTGTATCTATCCATAAATTCCTTACAAAATTTTCGTAATTTTTAGTGAACTAAATAATTATAAAGAAAATATTTTATGATGACAATGAGGTTTAACTATAATTTATATTTAGTTGCCTTTAAAATTATTAATGAAATTTATAATAATATAGAAATAATATATGAAATATAATATGCATAAATAAAATAAAATAAAATTATTTCTAATGAAACATTGATGTAATTGATATAAGGATTCTGAAATCTCTTTGTCTCGTTTGTTTAGAAGAAATTAAATTATTAAAATAAGTCATATGCGTTACTGCATTTTGTTTTGAATTTGGTGAACCCGAAATAATAATTTAATATGTTCTTATAATAACAGGGTTGTTAGTTCTGCGTTTTGAATAAGGTGCACTTCTGTAACTATAGTATATTTTTTATGTTAACTATTGATCTAAATCAAATGGATGATATTCAGTTTCCAAATTTTATATTATATAGATTTTTTAATATTAGACGATGATCAGAACTTCAGGCTGAATTGTCTTCTTCTTGTTCTAGCTCGAGAACAGTTTTCATAGTTACAAAGAATCTCCTGTTTAATTTTCTAGTTTAAAAGGCAAACCTAAAAGGATATGCCCGTGTAGTTAAATTAATGAACTTTAGCTAGGCGGTTATCTTGTGCTAGTATTGATCCTATCTTGACAATATAGTGCACAGATAGTACACAGCAAAAATATTGCCAAAAAATATTTCCTAGCATATCGTATCTTAGGCACAATCATGACTAGGCCACTGTTGCACATAAAACTTTTAAAGTCACTACTTTTATGACCTCGATATGTTAGAGATTCTATGTAATAATGGAGTACGTTTTTCCGAACCCGGTTTAATAGAGCAATAGCAAAATACATTGAACGTGAGAAATTATATTCTGTACCAATATGTAATAGATTTTGCACCTGGTTAACGTAAAAGCCATTAAGCAATCGCATTAAAGTATGGAATTGATTTGTGTGATGATATAAAATTTCGTTCAAAAACGTCCTATCTCTCTCATGTTGATTTTTCCACGACCTTAGAATTTATTCCAAAACATATTCACGGTAAAAATTTTACTTCAACTTTGACACCGTTCTGTAAAATTAACAATGGATTGAAACATCTACAGGAAACATCTACTAAACCATGGTGTTTGACTTCTTATGACTATTCTAAAAACTTACTTCCTAATTTCTAATTCTTTAATATCTATTATCTGAGGCACTATACTCCTCCTATTAGTCAAGCATTTAAGTAGTAGTAGTAACATCTATTACACAATATCATTTCTATTATCTTTGTTGGATACGAATTTTTCATTTGCGAAATTAATTTATTTTATTAAAGAAAATGACCTTTGATAGTCTACCAATTCGTACAATATTAATTTCAGGTAGAACTTATAAGATGATATAATATGATGATAACTTGATGATGATATATGAAGATTAAATAATCATTGCATAGTTGGATTCGATATGTTCAGTTTAACGCTTGTCATCCACTGATTTGTGCACTTTATTTAAATTAAGCCTCCACTTTTCGAACCACTTGTTTCACAGATACAGGTTATTTTTCGAATAGCACCAGAAATAAAATTAATAGTTCCATTCAAAAAAAAAATAATTCGCTTCAATCAATATTTTTTATGCGCGTCTTTGCCTTAACACCTGTCAAATATGTCGGCTTATCATCTCAATAATACGAAAAATCAAATCTATTTTATATTAAATTTTTTAAGACCTATTTACCAAATAACATTATTAGTTTCTTCGACTCTCCATCTAAAGCAGTTTCAAAGCTTTTAAATAATAATTTATCAAGTGATCCTTGTTATTCCGGTATTGACAATTAATTACTTTATTCTTTTAAAAAAATTTTATTGTAAAATAATTGTTTACCGATAAGGTCGTTCTACATAAATTTTATATAGTAACATACAATATTAATATAAATTTTTTTCCCTTTACAGATATGTCCCTCTCATTAGCTCCATTACATTTCCCCGTGATTAGGCCGGGCTTCGAAACTGATGCTACAGCCGCCGTTAAACGACATCCACATCCTTGGGCGTATGATGGCGATGGTTTCAGTTCAGCACAGTATCATCATGCATCGCAATATTACTTAGATAGAGATCGTAAGCCTGTCTTTTATGGCTATCCAGATACACAGTTTCAGGTATGAAGATTTATTTAAATAATAGTCAGTAGAAACTTAGCTTATTAAACTCTTTATTTGTGTAGCCATATTGGAATTATCGTGAACAGCCAACATCAGCTGCTGCGGCAGCTTACATGAGCGCCAGTGAAGAGCGGCATGCCAGCGTAACTGCAGCAGCAGCCGCTCGTCAATCGGTAGAAGGCACATCACAGTCAAGTTATGAGGCACCAACTTACCCATCACCTGGCGCTCTTAGAGCCTATCCAAGTGAAGCATACGCAAATACAGGTAAGTCGAAAATTATTGGTCGGAAATCTTCTTTTTAAGTTTTTATATACAAAAATCTGTAGTGTGGATTGGGGCTCAAATTTAGTTAAATTTCTGTGTATAAGTATTATTGCGCATTCGATGGTATGACGTTTTATTTAAATAAAAAATGCAAAAATAAGCTGGATTTTATTATGTGTAGTATAAGATTGTTTACTTTACTATGCTCGTGTTTTGTATATTTTACATTTTTTTAAATTGTTTACAATTGTCTGTATGAACCCACACTTCACTTCACTTTTCATTTACTTAACTTTATGCCAAGTGTTGTTTTATCTGAAAGTTTATTTATTTATTTATTTATAAAAAATAACAACACGTGTTAAACGTGTTTTTTAAAGTTTGTATCCAGTAATTATTTCAACATCGCCTCATTTGTAATTTCTGATGCATTGCAGATGTCTGGTAAGAAAGGAATTTCTGAATTGGCATATATATAATCAATGCAGGATTACAATAACCACACAATTTTTAAAATGTTGTCTACAGGTTAAAAAAATCTCTACTTAGATTTAAATTTAACTACAATATAAAAGTAGTATTCGACAGAATTCTTATATATGTACACTATGATCATTGGACCACGGATCAACCTAGAGAACGAGTTACTGAAACTAATAATTTTTAGCCTAAATAACATCTAGAAGAGGTTTTGACTACTCCACCTTTGTGAGCAAGATTTCGACTTAGTTCAACACTTTTCTTCTCTGGGCTTCAGAAAACAGGGACAATCTTAGCAACTTCAAAGCCGTTGTAGTAGTTCCACAATCCTCTTCTCTGGGCTTCAGAATGCAGAAATAATCTTAGCAACTTCAAAGCCGTTGTATTTCAACAATTCTCTTCTCTGGGCTTCAGAATACAGAGATAATCTTAGCAACTTTAAAGTCGTTGAAGTGTTTCAACAATTTTCTTCTCTGAGTTTAAGGGTACATGGATAATATTAGCAACTTCATAGAGATTGAGCTAAGCAGATAGGGTCTTAGGAATGTGTTCTGAACATTTAAAAAAACACTGATCTTCATTTCTAAAATTTTGTTCCATAGAATAATTGAGTAAAAAAAAAGAAAAGGCATAAACTAAATAAACAAAAAAATATTTCATTAAGATGCTCGGACAGTTATTAATTATAAAGAGGGTGTCCGGTCATTGTGTGTTAGAAAACCACGCTGGTAGATTGATACCCGTATTCATAGCTGTAAATTACGTCTTAAAACTGACTTAAGTAGAAATTAAGTCAGCAAAGTTGATGACTTAAGCTTAAGTTGAGACTAAAGTTACAACAATGAAATCGGTCCTGAAGAATCCTTTCAATCACTCTAGCAGTAGTTTTGAGAATGATAAAAGGAAAACTTCGCATATATTCTATTATTGTTTGAACTATACGCAACATTCATAAAATATACTTAAAATTTACTTTCTAGTGCAGATGTTTTTTAAATTCCATTAAAATTTAGAGATGATTCTCTTCGAGATCTATGATGACCAATAATAATAGTATCGCCGTATTTCACATTTTTATTTCTATGACCCAGCCTGGATTTAGTAATAAACATTTGGGTGTTATTTTAAGCTGGTTAAGCAAGTGTTTTGAAACTAACAGACGTCTGTAATTAAAAATGCTTAACTAAAACAAATTTTGCTCATATATAGGACTTATGAAATATTAAGTGTTGAAGTTTATGCATCGTTATAATTAAAACTTAATTATAATTATAATTTTTATCATTTAAGTGAAGTGAATTTAGTGAAAAGTGCTTGCTTGATTATCATTTAAACAATTACAAAATATTTTTTAAATATAATATATAAGGGAATTACTCGTTAAGGGTTTATAATTGAATTCTTTAACTTTTTTGGATAAGCGAATTTTTCCTCGGTTAGACGAATTACTGAAGCATGCCATAACAAGTGAGCCATCATGGTTTACTGATAAGACTCGATATTAAATTGGCTTAGTTCTTTAACTAATATCAATATCGATATCAATTTACATACAATTTTATTTTATATTTTTTTATTTTTTAATATTTAACAATTATAAATCAGCACACGGAATTGCTTTGAATTCATTTTTTTTTGAAAACTCAAAAGTAGCGTCACTTAAAGCACTGTAACTTGTAAACAAATGGTCGGATTAACATATGATTTTGACAGTAAGCCTAAAAAGGTTGCCACTTTCGAAAAAAATATTTATTTAGTATTAGTGCCGCCATCTATGTGTCAGTCACACACATTATTGAACGAAGTGTTACATTTAATAATTAGTAGACCTCAATAAATAATATTGCACAACGCACATGATATTGTACAATGTCTACACCAGTGGCATATGCGAGAGAAAAGAAAAGAAAAGAATAACCTCTCCGACTACACATAATTTATTTTTTATGAAATGTCTTCATATAAACCTTACGGTTCATATATATATTATAGTAGTTTTCAAAAATCCCCTCTTATATGGGTCTCTTTGTAGGCTCCTGGTACTCTATAACAATAAATAGCGATACAAATAAATATATAAATAAAATAACAAATATGGAGATGGGTAATGAGAACGTGACAGGGTTTTCAGTAAGGAATATATTTAATTAATATTTTATCGATACCAGTAGAGTTGTCTATATAACGAAGTAATTGACTCAATTCTATTTCAATTAATTGACAGCTCTCAATTCTACTATTAATAAAATTTTCTGGGAATTTATTATATGAGTTGCCAAACATTTATGGTGGTCAGCCAAAGGCAGAATTGAGGGGCTAAAACCAATCATCAATCACCCCCTTATAATGTGTGTATATACACACATATCTTTTTATTATTATTGATAAACAAAAATATTGTTGATATAACATTTTATCTGAAAGAGCCTGCTCCTCCTAACACAGACTTTTGGTAACGGTCCTCGTGGGAAGTTAGTATAAAAAATTAATTAAAATAAAATAATCGTATATGTCTTCCCTATATACATACTAACTCGTTTGATTTTATTAAATTTTTTTAAAAAGTATTCCTAAATTGATTTTTATCTCATTATTTCTTTTTGTGTATATTTTAGGTGGTGGCGCTGTTGGTCCATGCACACCGACTAATGCATTACATGAGTGGACTGGTCAAGTTTCGGTGAGAAAAAAGCGTAAGCCATATTCAAAATTTCAGACACTGGAACTTGAAAAAGAATTCCTATTTAACGCATATGTGTCAAAACAAAAACGTTGGGAATTAGCTAGAAACTTGCAGTTAACCGAAAGACAGGTATTTCAATAGCAAATTAAATAATCCTTATAATTCCAAAAATATTTATATATGATTATATATATTTTTAAAGGTAAAAATATGGTTCCAAAATCGTCGTATGAAAAATAAGAAGAACTCCCAACGGCAAGCAAATCAACAAAATAATAACAATAGTTCAAACAGTAATCATAATCATGGCCAAGCAGCGCAACAGCATCACAATACTCATCACTTGAACTTAGGTTTGGGCATGGGACATCATACCACGAAAATGCATCAGTGACCTTTAGAAAATAGCGGTGCTACGTCTTTGGGATTTTCCACCTTTTAACAGTTAGCAAACATAAAAACCGAAACAGTTAATGAATTTAATCAAATTAATTTTGTTTAAAAAGTTCCAATGGCGATGAAATTTATTTATGAGTGAAAACAAAAAAAATAGATATAAAGTCGCTTTAAGTTCAATTTTTATAAAATCTTTGCAAAAAAATTATAATTTTTTTTTTACTAATGCAATATATTCTATTTTTACGATTTTAATATTGAGTATTAACCTTGTTTTATGTATATGCAAAGGCACATTGCTATTTACGATGAATCCCAGAAGTACATTTAAAAAAAGATATTCAGTTTTTGTATAGATAGCGCATAATAGTAGGGAATTGTGGTAGTAAATAGTTAAAAAGTAAATACTTTACTTTATATGTAAAGTAGAAATTCACAAAATAATAAGAGTAACCTACCAAGCTTAACGAACACTCGGTAACTAGTAGTGTACATGCAAGGTAGGGTTTGCATTATTGGCCTGTAGTGTATTTATACATTGTAATATATCTTATATTATCTTATTAAATAATATATATTATATATATAATATATTACAACAATATAAAACATTATTTTATACTTCGCACTCCATGCTTACGGACACATGTTCCCGCATACAGCGATGATTCGTTTTCCGTCTTCACTTGGTTGCCTGTCCAGTCAGCAATTATCGCATATACACTACAAACTGAGTAATATAAGAACAGTTTAAAGCGGTTATAATAAAGTATATTTTATGTCTATGTGTTGACACTTTATAGTGCTGCTCTATTATTTGATCAGCAAGCTTGCTCCAAGAGATCGTGAACTTATAGTACTTGGAGTTATTGACCAAGTGCTGAAACTACATTCTACAAAATGAATTGTGACTTTTGTATCTAACATTGACGCATACATTTATGTATATATATGTAACACGCCTTTATTAGTCTTTTTGTATAATAAGTTATTGTCTTAACAGATACACTTAAACTTCAGTTTTTGAATTGTGATGAACTCGCAACTCTTCTCAGAAGGGCCATATTATCAGATGATTAAGTAATCGATGATCACCATATCTTTTGTTGCTTTCAACACTTTCAATTTTTTTACCTTATGGTGCATTGTATATATATATATATATGTATGTGAAATTATATAAAAATGTAAAATAAACATATATCTACAAATAATAGGAAAACATTCCTATTATACATAAAAATGTTTTAAACAATTTGTATTATTTATAAAAATGTCTCCAACTGTTTCTATTATTTATAGAAACAATTTCTATTGTATATAGAAATGTTTTTAACAATTTCTATTATATATAGAAATGTTTTTAGGTAGAAAATTATATATTGTAAAAATGTTTGTTCGAAACTTTTTTCACGAATTTTGAACTAAATTTAATAAACAAATAAATAACTCCTAAAACAAATACACTATAAGTCAATAAACAAATTTGGTGATCGATGATCAACTGATCATCTGCATAATACACTATAAGTCAATAAACAAATTTGGTGATCGATGATCAACTGATCATCTGCATAACTTCGTCCTTAACAACTTTTCTTGAATAATATTAGCCGTCTACATAAATATTTTTTAATAAACAAATATCTTTTTATCTTTCATATATATTTTTATAAAAGAAATCTTTTAAAATTTTCAAATATAATTTGAATTTTTTGTATTTTATTTCCATACTTCTCTCTAACACTTTACCCAGTGAACCCGTTTGATATATTCTTTTAAAAGTAAATCTACTATTCTTAGTTATTTTAAAGGCCCAAAAAATTTTTAAAAGCCAAACCAATTTAGTTAAAATAATTTTAAATTTAATATTAAAATATTTTGCGCATTTTTGCAAGGATTTTATAAATATATTAATTATGCTTTAAATAAAATATGCAATTTATATTATTATTGCATATTATATATCTCAAATTGTTGTAGATACTTTAGAATGATGAAACCGAATTCATTGAACATTTTACGTCCATTCCGTGAGAATGTCAAATCTAGATGCAAAAATTATAGCAATTCTTATTATTATTTTTAAGAATGCAAGATTTCTGTATAACACAAATTATATAAACAAGAACAAATAATACCGAAACTAAATCCCAAAAAAAAACTTAAAAATCATTACGGCACTGCTAGTTTAAAATTTAAAAACAAAAAAAATAAAAAAATAAAATATATCTTAACTATTCTATTAAGGAAAAAATAAATAAAATAATTGATGTAGGTCAGTAGTAGTAAAAAATAAAAAAAAAATGTTTGAAAGCTCGTTTTTCATATTCACTTTAAATAAACTCTATTTTAAAGATACAAAACAAAACAAAAGAAAAGAAAACAAAAGAAAAGAAAAGAAAAAAAAACAAGTTGAAGTATAAGTCATTAGTATACATTAATATTAATAAACAATAATATTAACTTAATTTAAAATAAATTAATATGAATATACATAATTATGTTATAAAAGTTGTAGTGAACAAAAAAGTCTTCTTAACAAGTAAACACAAAAACAAAAACAAAAAATGAAAACAAAAACAAAAAAGTAAAGTTACAAACCAAATTGAAACTAAAGGATATGCGCATAATTTACATATTCAACAAATCCTGGCATACGTGCGAGTCCAAAAGATATTGAATTATTTTCAAAATTTTTAAATAATTAGTACTAAGACCTAACTATATGAATATTATATACAATGTTCATTCCTGTATATATATATATGCTTTTATTCACACAATTGAAATATATGAAAAAAAAGAAAACAATTAAACTAGCAATTACTTATATGTGTCTATATAGAGTATATCCTTTAATGCGATGAGCATTAAAATTAAATTAAAACAAAAATTAAAATTAACATTTTTAATCATTTAATCATTTAATAATTTAATAATTTATTTGGTGCACATGTAAAAAATACACAAAAATGCTTGAAACTGTAGTGAAGATGTAAAACGTTAAGGATCCTAGTTAATAAAGCTTAAAACTCAATATATGACTTTTATGCGTGTACGAGTATTTCTGTCCTGTGTCCTGCAATATTGAAAATATATTTTGAAATTAAATTAAAATTAAAATTACCTTTACCATTACCAATACGCAACGAAACTTTATCTTTAAAATTGAATAAAAAATAAAAATCAAATAAAAATAAAAATAAAAATGAAATAAATACACAAGTAACTTTATATGAAAATTAAATAAAATGAAAATTTTTTTATGTGTTCACGTTTACTCAGAAAACTTAAGGTTAATAATTATAAAAATTAATTAAAAGAAATGAAATGAAATTAAAAATCAAATGATTAAATGAATTGAACGTGAAATAATTGGTTAATAATTTTTAAATTTTACTGAGTTATGTATATTTTTATTAATCGATTTGTTGAAGTTTACACACTAAATATCTAAGTTAACTTAATTTTCTTTCGTATGAAATACATTAGTTGTATTTTTGTATTATTTCTGTTTAAGTCTAGTTTATTTTCCTTTAATCGGTTATGTTGTCTTATTTATATGTGTAATTTTAAATAAATAAATTTATTGAATTTTTATAGTTAATTAAAATTAAATCCTTTTTTAAAAAGTATTTGTGAATAATTGATAATTAATTGGAGACTTATGTTTTAATTAATTAATTAAGTAAATCATAAAAATTAAATATGGATTCACATATGCATACACTAAAAACTATGTATATTGTGAAGTGTTTATATAATATTAATAGTTCTAATTATAAAATAATTTAAAGATATAAAAAATATTAAAATAAAAAAGATATATATTTAAAAAAAAAAAAATTCAAACAAAATTTTTAATTTCAATTCAAAATTTTTTTAAATTTATTTTCCAAAACAAAAAAAATATTTATTTAAAAATTTTTATTTCAATTTTTCGGCTTCTGGTGAGTATTTTTTGAGTATTTTTGGCTTCAAAATTTATTTCGTTTGGTTAAAATTTCAGTTAGCTTTTTATATATATATATAATGATTTTCAAAAAAGTAGAAACAAAACTCTAACCTTAATATACATATTTATAAAACTATAAACTATAATAAAATACAAACCGTCAACCTCTCATGAACGAATTTACAAATTTACGTAATTTTGCATACTGTCAAGTATTCGAGTAAAAATAATAAATAAACTTAAACTGACTCTTTAAGATTCATTCTAATGGCATTGCGATATTTGATTCTTCTTAACCCAAAAAGGAGCTTTGAAGAGGGACTCAAATAGTCGCAATCGCAATCGTAATCGTGTATAAACAGTCGTTGTAGAAACCTTAATAAAAACAATATAGAAACTGAAATATTAACTTTAATATTTAGTTTGTTTAATTATGTTTAATTATTGTGTCCTTAATTAACAAATTATAATTTATTTATTTATATTGCTTAGTGATTGCAAAAACATAAAAATTAATGTTAGTAATGCGTAAAATTATGCTTGAATAAAATGTATAATGACTTATATAATTGTATTTATTTTGTTTAATTTTTTAAGATGAACATATTAATTTATAAGATAAAATAAATTTATGTCACAGTGGTACTTGTAGTTTCATTTATTCAAAAATCGAAGAATGCATTGATGACGAAAACTATGGAATTCATAAATGAATTAAATCTAATTAAACCAACATCAGTTCCGAAGACAGAAATATAATATATGAAATATTAAAATATGATTTAATTTGAAAGACTATAATTATATATTCGTTGATTTATTATTAATCAATTGTTGAGTACGTTTCGATTTTCGTGTAGTCGTTCATAATCGCTGGATCCCAATTAACAATTAAGTAGTTGACTCTAGATTTATATAAACATTTTTATTGCTCCAAATTCCAAAAATCGCCAATATAAAATTTTCTCTAATAATAATAAGTATATAATACAATTTAGATAAGAGAAGCACATATCCATAGAGATCTGAGAGTCGTTTCAGTCGAAAAATACATTAAAGATCGTGTACATATTTAACGGCCACCATAATCCAACACTCAACAACCTGAAAACACAGCGAAACCTGATAAACACAGGCAGATACAAAGACATCAGATCCATTAGTTCATATAGTTA